CCTATTTATATATGTATTATATAAAATATTTATTTATATATATATCTATATGTTTATTTTTATCCATAATATTTATTTTATATATGCAATATATATCTATATCTTTATTTTTTATTTTTATTTATAAACCCAACCAGACGAGAAAACAAATGAAAACAAATAAATATCTTTATTCACATAGACGCTTGCGCGTTCTTATGAAACGTCAAAATTTTACAACAAATTAACACGTTCGTAATTTACCACCGGTTCGGAAAGCAGTTTCTGTTGAGAAGAAACCGGCAAGAAACTCAACAGTTGCTCTTTTTAAAAAAATCAGTTTACAATATAATAGTACAGGTACAATAGTCTTGTTTTAGCCTACGTGAGTATCAACAGTATTAACCCCACACATTGGCGTCGTCAAGATATTCGGCAATAGTATAATAGGCTTTAGCCATAAGTGTACTTTTAATTTTTCGTTTAAATTCAGCAGACTTAACATCGACTGTGGGATTTTATTATACATGCGCACACTTTGCCCCATGAACGATCTGTTTACTTTTTGTAGGCGAAATAATGGCGTAGTTAGTTTGTCCTTATTTCTAGTATTTAGTTTATGTCTGTCACTATTCTTTTGATAATTATTAATATTCTGTTTAACATACAAAATATTACAATAAATATATTGAGACGCAACAGTGAGTATATTAACTCTTTAAAAAGATCTCTGAGTGTATTCCGTGTGGCTCCGATGTTATAAATTGCTCGGACAGCTCTTTTTTGAATAATAAATATTGAATTTATATCAGATGCACTACCCCACAACAAAATGCCGTACGACAAGATGCTGTGAAAATTACTGTAGTAAACAAGTCTGGCAGTGTCGATGTCTGATAGCTGCCTAACCTTCCTAATTGCAAAAACAGCGGAGCTTAACCTATTCGCAAGAGATGATAGATGGGGACTCCATTGGAGCTTTGAATCTACTGTGATTCCCAAGAATACAGCGGACTCAACGGGATTAAGGGTTACGCTATTCAATTTTAAGCTAAAACTTTGCCTTCTTACGTTGGGAAGGGCAAAAAGAAGGCATTTAGTTTTTTTAGCATTTAACACCATATTATTAATGGTAAACCAGTGGAGGATACGCGAAAGTGCACTATTCACGTCGTCATAATTCGATACATTTCGGTCAACCTTAAAAATAAGCGATGTGTCGTCAGCAAACAGTACAACATCACATAACTCACTGGCATAGAAGGGGAGATCATTTATATATACTAAGAATAATAATGGGCCCAAGATTGATCCTTGTGGGATACCCATTTTCATGGGGGACCCTGCGGAATTTACATCATTTATAGATACTTTTTGAATTCTATTATTAAGGTAAGAAGCAATGAGATTGAGGGCGATGTCACGAATGCCATAATAATCAAGCTTTAGAAGGAGGGTTTTGTGATCCACGCAGTCGAAAGCTTTTGAAAGGTCGCAAAAAACACCTATTACATCTTGCGACCCTTCCCAGGCGTTATAAATATGTTTGACAAGTGCGATACCCGCATCTGTTGTCGATCTGCCTTTAGTGAATCCATATTGCTCATTGTGAAAAATTTTGTTCATATTAAAATGTACTAAGAGCTGATTTAAAATTAGTTTTTCAAAAATTTTACTCAGAGATGGCAATATAGAGATAGGTCTGTAGTTTCCTGGATCATTTTTATCCCCACTTTTGAAGACGGGGATTATCTTACTAAATTTCATAAGATCTGGAAATATTCCAGAATCTATGCAGTTGTTAAAAATATTAGCTAAATGTGGTGCAATATATGGCATTATTGTGGTCATTAATTTTATGGACATGCCCCATAAATCCCCTGTATTCTTAAGATTAATAGAATTCAAAACTTTTATAATATCATAAGTATCTACGTGATTAAATTTAAATGTGTGTGGACAAAAGGTAACATTATTTCTTAGAACGTTAATTGCATCTATGGGAGATGATTTTAATGTACATGTGACATTAACTGCAATTTCTGAAAAATAGCTTTCAAAACTACTTGCAATTTCATTATCTGATGTTATGGGAGTATTACCTATAACCAGTTTTATAGGTTCCCTGAATATCTTGGGTCTTCCAGATATACGGGTAATGATGTCCCATGTGGCTTTAATTTTATTATTTGAAGTTATTATTCTATTTCTTATATGAATAGATTTTGCCTGAATACAGACTTTTTTAAATATTTTTGAGAACATTTGTACCCTTTTATGAAAGTTGGGGTCATGATTCCACTGCCTCATATTATATAATTCATACAGTGAATCCCTACTTTTATATATACCCACTGTTGCCCAGTCACTAAATTTTAATTTCGAATTTTTAACAATTGTGCGCGATTTAAATATATCATTATAAGAAGATATGAGAAAGTCAACCATTGATTTATAAGAATCATTAGGATTATTGACTTCTATATCTTTATTTAACATATGATGTGCCACTTTGTCTTTAAAAGAATTTATTCTATTATTAGTGACTGGTCTACACTTGATCTTATGTTTGCTTGTAATAACTTTTTCATTTATTGAAAATTTTAAACTAAAGTGGTCAGAGCTCAGATAATTTATAACATATTTATCATATACATTATCGTGGCAGAAAACGTTATCTATACATGTGGAGGATGAGTTAGTGATACGAGTTGGTTCATGAAAAAGATTATTAAGTTTAAATGAACTAAATAAATTTAAAAGTCTAAGATGTGTCACTTGTAATAAATCCACATTAAAATCTCCACAAACTACTACTGATTTACTACTTGAACAGAGTTTTTTAAGTACATCATCCATTACACACTCAAACAGATCGAAATCACCTGAGGGGGGTCGATACACGCATACTATAATATACTGTTGACTCTCAACGCAGGATAATTCTATAGAACGTTCGACAGAGTGTGCTACTATATCCTGTCGATTTTTACCGACTATATCAGTTCTTACTAACACAAGAGAGCCACCGCGAATAGCATTTGCTCTTACGAACGAACTTAACAATTTATAGTTCTCTATATCTATAATATTAAAATGCTTATGTAACCATGTCTCTGTGAAGCAGATGACATGGATGTTAAATCTTCTAAGAAACAGCTCAATTTCAGGTTCTTTGCCATCTATGCCTTGTATATTTTGGTGTACAATATTTAATTTAAGTGGCTTAGGTGTTGTCTCAATGTTTAGTTTAAACTAACATTGTTTTTTGTAAAATTATTGCTAAGTAAAATGTTCTTAGTTGTACAATGTACAACTGGGTTTTGTATATTATATGCTACTAAAGTAGCAATTATTTTTTTATAATATAATGGCAAATACCAATTATTTTTTGTTACCTTAAAACTAGACTTAATAAAACTATTTATGTCAAAATAAAAGAAAGCGTCACTATGACGGTGAGTTGTATTATATATAGTCATGTTAAGACTATATATGTCTTTATTTTGTTACTCTGTAAGGAAGGAGGAATATTGAAATGCGCATATTATAAATTTACACTTAGTCTTGTAATGTAAGCCCAGTAATATTTCCATATTATTGATAATTTCCTAATTTAAAGTAACAAAGTAACAGCCTATAAATGTCCCACTATGGGCAAAGGCCTCCTCTGTAAAGAGAGTGTCAGGGTATAGTCCACTATTTGGCCGCACTGCGGGCTGGCGGACTTCACATATTTTCGAAATATATATTTTATTATTATTATTATTTCGAAAATGTGCAGGTTTCCTCACGATGTTTTCCTTCACCGGTGCTGGCACCGGGGATCAAACTCAGTTTGCTCTAGTATATGTAATTTAAGGCGAGTGACCGGATACTGAGTTATCACGCCTTAAATATTATAAAAATTATTTAATACATACATATTTTTATTGGTTTTTATTTACCAAACTGAGTTATTATAGGTTAGTGTACTAAGCTGTGAAGTAAGATTCAATTGACTGTGGCAGAACCCTGCGGACGCGTTTGATGATTTCACAAAGGGGTATTCAACCACGTCTCGAAAAATACCATCCAATCAACATATTCTTGTTCAACTTTGCCTCTACTAACTAATAGAAGCTATATGCTTATTATTCTCGGAATGTACGGACAAGGTGGATAAATGTGGTCTAACATATGTAGCGAACATGACATCTTTGATATAAAATTAAATACGGCAAATATTTCTGCGTTGTAGTAATCGAAGTTTACGTTATAATCATAGCTTCTATTAATATAGATGATTCAATGCATTTTTATAATACCTTAATTATTTACAAACCGATATAACATTGGTGATGCAAAAGCTTAAGTTGTGTAATAACGATATACCGATATTTATTCGTAATTACATATACTAAGGCGGTATATTAAACACTGTTTTAATATTTATGACTGTTGTTGATTCCCTGGTGTAGTAGCCAAGATATTGGCTTCGCCGCCGGCGTCTGGGTTTTATAATTACTATACACAGATCCGAATCTGTGTGTTTGTCGTCTAGAAATATAGTTTTGTAAAATGCCCTTGCAAGGATTGCAGGATAATGTTATCCAACAGTACGGGCAATATTTTCAAAAAGAAAAAAAAAAACGGAAAAGTGCGAGTCGCACACGAAGGGCTTCGTACCATTATGTATAAAAAGGACAAAAAATCATGTCTGTTGTATGGCAGCCCCATTTAAATATTTTTTATTCTGTTTTTAAGTATTTGTTGTTATAGCGGCAACAGTACATCATTTGTGAAGCAGGCTCCTCTTTCTCTCGTTGATTTTCCACTCTTGGGCGTCGAGTCTCCGTGGATCGCTCTATTGAGGATCAAGTTATACAACAATTTTCATTTTTAATCTACCTGGATTATTCGAATATCGTCGTGTATGTTTCGTTAGCGTATTTGGTAAGGCTAAAGCGTAGGTTTAAGATGACATTTTATTATGGCTGGTTATTGATTTAAACCATAAAATTACGGTGGTCTGTTCACAGATGGTGACTTGCGATAACGAGGGTTCATCTCACGGCGGATTTCACTTGGGCGCCCGCGAAGATGATTCGCGTCGACCACATGCGCCCAGTGTGTCCTCCCTGTCCCTTTACAAGCAGAAGATTGACGCGTTGTTTGACGACAATCGATCCATCACTAGCTTGCCTCAGTACGGGCCGACGCCAGACGCAGCGAGGAGGGATAGCAAGGTAAGGGTGTTTGGAAAATTGAGATGCAAAATCGATCCCGCTGTGGATAGGTAGAATTGACATATCTTCGAAAAGTATTCTTTTTTATTATTTCGAAAACATTCAGGCTTCCTCCCGATGTTTTCCTTCACAGCAGACCACGTGACAAGTTATTACTTGAAAGTTTGCAACGAACAATTTCATTGGTGCCGACACCAGGATTTAAACTCAGGTTGCTCGGCTATATTGAATTAAAAGCGAGCGCATGGACACTGTGTCAACGTGCTTTACTTAACATAGCGATTCTGTTTCAGGTGAGTTTAACGCACGAAGGCAAAGCAACTATATACGAAGATGAGAACGGTTATTGCCAAACGAGGATCAAAAAGATCAATAACACGGTGCAGGACCGTATAGAGAAGATGTTCGCAGACATGGCTGGTGAGCCCAGACAAACCACAGACAGTATCGGTGTCCACATATTTAGCGTACATTACCTAGGCTCGACCCCGTTACAGAGCAAAGTCACCAGCCTATCCGGACTACAGACGCCGCTTAAAGATTTATATTTCGCCTATAGGAGAAATTTTCGTCAGAAGGGTTCGTTGACGGGTCGATTAGAAATATCTAATAGCGGTTTAAAAGTAAGGTATAAAGGCGAAAAAGGAGACTTGGAACAACTGAACCCGTTCCCAACGATAGCTGTCTGGTCAGCAGTAAAATTTGTTGTTCAGCCTTCTGAGGACGAGAAGAATGATTTAAGTTACGCTTTTGTCCCTCTCATCACTGATCCGGATAACATCGATCGGCATGCATTGTTTAAAACATTAGAATCGACAGATAAGAAGTACATCCTCTCCCACAACGAGAATTCGCATTCACCTCTTTTCGCTGTAGTGATGAGGAAGATTGGAGTTGCCAAGCAGCTGGAGTGTCATGGGTTTGTATGTCAGACGACAGAGGACGCTATTGTGATAGCAGCCACGTTATACAAATCTCTTATGTCACATATGAGTCGGCAGGGGCACGCTGATAAGAATAAGCTGAAAAACCGTAATGGAGTTAGTTGTATGAGTGTTGCCAGCAGTCTACCGGGGCACGAAATCCCTGTGCGACCGCCGCGCAAGAAGCGAAGTACGTCCTCTCTGAGTGGGGACAGCGATAGGGCTGATGGCTTTTCCGCGAGCGAGTCATTTAGCGAGAAACCAAAACAAGATAGGACCGCAAAGCTGCCAGATAGTGTATCGATATTTACTTCACTACCGGTGCACCAGTACGAATCGAAAAGGATAACGGTAGAGGAGGTTAAGGCTAAATTGGACTCGATAAAACACGACACAAGCGGCAGCGATACGCAGGAGACGAAAAAGCCCTTTACGAAAGACAATATCGGTTCGAGCCATATCCAGAATTTGCCGATACCACAAAGCAGCACCGAATCATCGGTGCGAAGTAAAGTTTCAGAAAAGATCGAACTATTCAGAGAGCTGGAGAGACGAAAAAGTATACAGAGGCCACCGATTTTACCTCCACCTATTCCGTTGAAACCGCAACAACCTCCGCCGGATCCCCCCAAGGAAACATTAAGAAGAACACAAAGCGGAAGAAAATCATTAAATGAATCTGGAGACATTCTGACAAAAGTGGCCATACCTCGGTCGGGCAGTTTCTTAAATGCTGGTGGGCTGACCCGCTATAAGTCTATTGGACATAGGTACGTACTATAAAATTATTTTTATACTACTCTATTCTTCGGCTCGAAATCATTTTCATGGGATATGTAACATTTTTATAGTGAAGTTAAGATATAATATTGAACAAATGTTTTTTATTCCGTAAATTCTTTGCACAAGGTATACGCATGAATACAATATGTAGAGGAAAACATTCAGGTTGTCTTAACTTGAATGTTTTAGGATGTCAAATAGTTAGTCTATCCCAGTGTTAGGAATGATTATTTAAACGTCACATAAAACTATACTACTTTTTTGTAATAAAAGAACAATGAATGTGCCACAAATACATCAATTTGTACCATATCCCATATTGCACTGATGCTTATGTGTCACAATAGCTAATGCATCCGACTGACTTTATTCCGATTTCCCACTCGATCGGTTAACTTAAAGACTGAAAATAAATACACAACGATAACGAATAAAGCAAGCTTAGCGAAGTGTTTCGACACATCGCATGCGGGTAATCGTGCCAACGCAACCGCATCCACTACATTCTTCTGATTCAATATAACAGTAGCACTTTTTGTCTATTGTTGTAATTAAAATTGTTATATATAAATTGTTTGTCAACTTTTTCTTAAACAACACCTGTCTTTTTCTTCCAGAAACAACGGTAAAAAAGGAGGCGGCTCACCATTAGGTTTTAATGAATTGTTCAATGAGTTCAAAGTGCAGGAGAACTTACATTCGATGGATGAAATACTGAATGCCATAATAGACCCAGAAGGGATGTCTTTTAATGATCTAAAGCCGATTTATAAAGAGTTTCTTTTAAAGTTAGCGGTTACATTAACAAAAGACGAAATATTTCAACACAGCAAAGCCATAATGAAAAAGCAAAAGAAGAAGATCTTGAGGCGCAACAGCACCTTCCAGAACAAAAGAAGGAAGATTTTCAAAGGAGCTAGTGGATTGAGAATGGTTTTTAGACTGCCTTTTGGTAAAGATTCGCGTAAAAAAGATGCTAAGAAGCAATTGAGCACAATAGATATAGACACAGAAAACAAGGAGCCGGTATCAGAAAGTTCAGTATCGACGTCCAGTTATGATTTGAGGCAGTTTCGACCGAAAGAGCCGCCAGCGATGCCGCAGACTAAAAGGCAAACGATGAGACATAGGAAGAGGTCCGACAAAGTTGTGCACGTCTCAAAGAGGAACGGAAAAGTATCGAGGCCCGGCGAAAGGACGTCCACTTCCGAGGACTCGGACTTTCTGACGCTCAGCAATCGGCTCGGTTGCCAAAACCGCAACAGCTCAAGCGGCTACGTGTCTTGTTCGGAATGCGAATCGGAAAGTTGCGTGGATCGCTGCTACTGCTCGCTGAAAGGCGACAACAAATCCAAATGCTACTGCAAACCGGTTGACGTCGACAAGGACTCGCCGAAGTCACGACTAATAAGTAAAAGCTGTAAAGACTGTTCCAAGTGAGTATCTATTATTTAAATTATATTTTTCGGGACACTAAGCGTATCTACACTATAGCGTTAAAGGTGTTTGTTTTGGAAATTTTCGTCAGCGGCATTAACAAATAAAACTTTAAATTTCTCTACTTTCATTCGCTTGCGTTTAACAATTCATTTAACTCGGCCGGAGATGCGTCTCGAAGAAGAGATTGTGCGGTTTTAATTACGTTTAGTGAATTGTGAGCGATTTCAACGGGCACTGGAATTTGTACCTTGTTTATTTCAAATTTATGGTTCAGAGTATACGTTACTTTTGTACGTGTAAATGAAATGTGTGCGGCGATTATCAGAGCGTGGCACGTCCGCGGCTCGCGACGGCTCATGAGTAACTGAACCGAATGATAATTATTTACAGTTGCCTATGAATTCATAATTTCACTAGTTTTACCACCCTCTTTATGTGTTTTAGTCAGTTTTTAATGAGTTTTAATTATTAAAAAAAAAAACTTTTCATATCTGTTTAAAAAATTACTGAAAACCTATGAATTTTTAAATTATCAATTTAGGATTTTGGTGGGTGTTTTATATAAACACGATAATTATTTTATATGAAGTGCTCAAAGAAATTAATGTTAAAGATTTCTTCCAAGATGTCAATTACATATTAAAGTAGATCTTTAAGATTTACAAGATATGTCCTGATACAGTATTGTAAAAAATATTCTTTGTAGTGTTTGTGAATGTATAACAAATATCTTGAGGACTTGAGGGACCAAATACGATAATTATAAAGATATAGTATATGTTAATTGATTTAAAGGTCGTCTGTCCCAGATTTTCGCTGTAGTTTCGGCAGTTTTTATGCAGAAAAGTAATGTCTGATGGATGGGGTAGTCGTCCCGTGTTCTCAAAGGTCATTGCAATGGCGACTGTAAAATCTGAACGCATCTATTGCACTACTAACTTGTAAGGATTATTTAGACGTCCATGGATTAACCTCTGCCGAACCCTTCGCTCGTGCCAATATATGCCCCACTGCAAGGGAAAGGCCTTCTGTATTTTCTTCTCAGATGAGTACGTAATAAAACAGCATTTAAAATTGCAATTAGCAATTTCATTAGTGCGGGATTTGTACTCAGGTTTCTCGAGCTTTTTAATGGATCACAGCACCCGGACACTAAACTATCACGGCCTACATACAGCACCCGGACACTAAGCTATCGCGGCCTACAGCGCCCGGACACTGAGCTATCACGGCTCACACCGCCCCGATACTGGGCTATCGCGGCTGATACCATCGCTCATAAAGGGAAAATTGCGCGTAATTTTCAGGGAGGTGTACGACGGCGATTACAGCTACTGCTCGTGCGATTCGGAGAGTTGTGCCGACAGCAACAAGTGCTACTGCACGAGCCCTCGCCGGCCGGCCGTGCAGAGCTCCCAGAGCCTAGAGCACCTGCGGAGCCCCTCCCACAGGACGTACTCGGACCGAATGAAGCGCGCCTTCGACGACTACGACACTAAAGGGACGAGAGCGAGGTAAATATTGTGTTTATTGTTTTTTTTTTTAATTTAGGGAAAAAGGAGCCAAACAAGCGGGTCACCTGATGGTAAGCGATCTTGCAACATCGGTTGAGTGACATTTGCGTTGCTTTTGTCACAATTGGTCTGCACGTATTTGTATTTGTACTGATAAAACTTGTACATTACGAAACATTTCATTGGAACGGATAATACTCGCGTTATAAAAGACGCCATTTTCTTTGTAAGATCAGCTTCATTTGAATCATCGTAGATTACAGAGAATTAAACGAAATTGCCATACGAATTAATCCGTTATAAATTATACCGTGTAGGATTAATAATGAGTTATTTTTTTCCGAGGAGAACGTTCCCATAATTGTCTTGATAATGTGTGTATAGATATTAACCTAGCCTCGTTAACGCACTGCTACTCATAAAAATTAAGTGGTAATTATCGCCACTTAACAATCAGTTAACACAATATATAACACTGAAATAGTGCAATAATTAAATAATAATTTTAGCTGATATTCAGTATTGCAGTTCATTATATCTTTATCATAAAGCTAAAATTAACGGTTTTGGCAGAAAAAACGACACAACAGCTCTTTTATTATTTATTTCCTAAAGCTATAATATCAAAAGATTTATTCAGCCATTTGCACATGTATACATTTACATTTTTATGTATGTATGCATCTATGGCATCTTCATGTGGCGGACCGCGGAAGGCACAGGTTCGAATCCTGGCAGAAACGAAAAAATTGTACGACTGATGAAGTTACATCTTAAGTGCATAGATTAGCACTAAAATTTTAAAAATTGAATGCTCACTTAACATTTTTTTTTACTTCTTTATTTATTTATTTATTTGATGCACCAAAATGGACACTGAAAAAATTTAAGTGTACACTAATTATAAGGAAAAACATGTTAAGTGCCCCAATTAAAGGTGTATACGACATTAAAACATGTAGAAAAAGTACCAAAGAACCCACGGTTTGTATGCTGGAAAAGGATATAACAATAGATGCGCCAAGGATTGCTTCAAATGCTAAATAACAATGTAGAAAGAAGGCGTTAAGATTTTCGCCGCTGTGGCTATCAGCCGTTTAGCTCAGTGGCTAGAGCGTCAGGCCGCGAATGCCGAAGACGTGGGTTCGATTCCCACAGCGGCGACAATCTTTTCGTACTTTTTCTACATGTTTTAATGTTCAATCCTAAGTGCAGAGATTAGCACTATAAAAAAAAACTTTAAAATGTATATATACCACATTTCAATTAAATGTAGTATTTGTATGATAAACAGGATATTTAAACATTAAAAAAAAACCAACAATTTTTTTTGTTGTTTTTTGTTTTTTTTTTACTTCTCACTGAATAATAACGGGACACCCACTTCGGGTGGTGGTGGTAAGTTTTAACCGACTTCAAAAGGAGGAGGTTCAAAATTCGATTGTACTTTTTTATGTTTGTTGCCTCATAAGTTTCGACTTATGTGGGTGGACCGATTCTTAATTAATTTGAACTAGTGCCTCCCATTTGATCCCATATTAATTTCATTGGTATTGGGATCTTGGGCTCCGGAGATACTAAGAGAACTCCTGGAAACCAATTATAAAACGAATACAGAGCGAGATTTGAAGTCGGTTTTGATTTTCTTTATAAAAGGAACTTGTTACATTAAACAAAAAAAAACTAACATCCCAATCCCGATACAATACCGTGCTAACCCCATTAATAACAATGTAATTGATGGTAAGCTAGTTTCTTGATTGGAATTTTCGATAAATTTACTGGTAGGGCCACGCAGTAGCCTCGGCTGTGGCACGAATGGGCAGGCTCGTCCGGGTAAGTACCACGATCTCACAGAAGACCGGCGTAAAGTGGAAGTATAATACTTTCGCGTTTCGTCTGATGAGTGAGGTAGCCGGAGCCCTATTTTCAATAGGTTGTCAACGCATCTGGAACCCTCGGGTGCAGCAGATATGTCCATGGTCGGTATTCACTTAACATCAGGTGGACCGTTTGCCCGCTTGGCAATTTTTTCACATTAAAAAAATACGAACTCGAACGAACGAACTCCAAATACCACCGGCCGAGTGGATTAAATCGAGAACGTTCTAGAAGGTGCCGTTCCAGATCCAGCGCGGCGTCGAGCAGACGTCAGGAGCGGAGCCGGAGGGCGCGCAGCTCCGACAGCCTCGCCCTGGACTATGAGCTGCTGCTGCAGAACAAGGCGCGCGACACCAGGGCGCGGAACATGCAGCGGTTGACCGGTGAGTAATCCTTAAAAAGTAAAGTAAAAGTAACATCCTATACATGTCCCACTGCTGGGCAAAGGCGTCCTCTATACAGAGGGTATCAGGGCATAGTCCACCACGCGGCTCCACTGCGGATTGGCGGACTTCACATATCTTCGAAATATATATATATTTTTTTGTTATTATTTCGAAAATATGCAGGTTTCCTCACGATGTTTTCCTTCACCGCGGAGCACGTGATAAGTCAGCACTTAAAGTTAAAAACTTCATTGGTGCCGGCACCGGGGATCGAACTCAGGTTGCTCGAGTATATTGAATTAAAGGCGAGCGCCCGGACACTGGGCTATCACGGCTCCTAATAACTATAAATAATATATAATAATAATCCTTACTTCCTTACTAATCCTTTATCCTTACTAATATTATAAAGGCGAAAGTTTGTATGCATGGATGGATGTTTGTCACTCTTACACGCAAATACTACTGAATGGATTCTAATGAAACTTCACAATAATATAGCTTATAGATCGGAATAGAACATAAAACATAGGCTATAATTTATAAAGATATTGTGTGAATTGTCCAAAATATGGGTAATGATAAGTGTCAACTAAGTAGGAAAAAATTCAGCCATCTGCGAGATATTCTGGTGTATAATAAAAACTCATTGTTAATTACCTTTGGCCGCGCGGGCGAAGCCGCTGTTAACAGCTAGTATTATAAACGTGAAAGTTTGTATGTATGGATGGATGTTTGTTGATTTTAATGAAATTTTACAATAACATAGCTTATATTACATCGGAATAAGACAGGCTCTAATTTATATACATGTTTTATATATATATTTTTTTTGGTATCGGGGGGGGAAATCTTCGTAAGATACCCTGTGACAGGGTTATGTGGGGTTCTTACCCACTAAAACCCTCTCGGTGGCCACCTTCTGTACGTTTGGGGATCTCCTACGGAACGCACCGGTGTCGCTCGGTACTGGGCGTGAGCACGCCTCGGAGAAGGGTTAAACCTTCCCCGGTTCCCTCGCCATCTTGCAGCAGCTCGAGGCCACTTCGAGCTGCTGCCAATCCGTGTCCCCTTTTAGTCGCCTTTTACGACAGGCAGGAGATACCTTAGTCCTATTCTACGAGCCCGGAACTACAGGGCTGACGCCTTTAGCCTATTCTACGCAGACGTAGTCGCGGGTAGCAGCTAGTGAGTAATACTGGCGCGTTAGAACTTGGAAGCCAGCGCAGCGTGACGACCTTTGCAAGTGTGTAAAATTCGATGTAAGCATGATGGTTCGTGCTTTGTAGTTTGTTCCCGTACAGGACTATTCTCAGCAGTGGATTTGAACTGGCTGAAATGATAATGATGATGATGACAAGAGAACCTTCGACATTATAGTACTGCCACCTAAGGCCGGCAACGCAGTTGTGACCGATGTTGTAATAGTTCATGTGCGTTGTCTCTACACATCGTGTTGACACGCTTGCACCCAAAACTTCAGTTTGGTGAACCATCAGATCAAACGTTCTTTTCAAAAGTCATCGCAGTTTGTAAAAACTTTTTACGAAAAACCTTGTCCATTTTTTTACAATATTTTTTAAATTATTTCAATGTCTATTGTCCGTCCCTCGTTCAGTCCGGAGCACCGGCGCGGGCTCCCACGACGCGCTGAGCGTGAAAAAGTCCGCAGAGATGGCGGCACTCTTCGCCGACGTGCGCCTCTCGCAGAGGACGGATGTGCGCTCTTTGGCGGGGGGGCGAAGGGCCAGGCCTCCGCCCCTGCCGCCTTCGCCGCCCAGGGCCGCGCCCCAACTGGCCCGCATGTTCGACCATCTGCCGCTGAGCAGGAACGCCAGTCTCGAGGACACTTTGGGATATCTGCCGTAAACGGAATAATGCAAGGACTTCCTTCGACAATAATAAACTTAACCGCCGAATGGGTAAAAATTCCCCCTTGTCTATGTCTACGATATACTTATACAGTACGTTTTTTACCAAAATTTCAACTAGCAGTCACTTAAAAATATTTGGTTTAATAAATTGGGGTCCACACAACGTTAGTAGTTATAATGTTGTGTGTTAAATTTTTTCTCGAAAAGTTCCGTCCAAAGTTTTGTATCAACGTCGCAATTGATAGCTAATAAGTTGCGGTTCAGTTAACGAAATTCGTGTGTAGTTGATATAAATTCGATGGAGCGAATTAATGCGAGCGGTCCTCGGTTGCAACGACCCAATTGTGAATTGATCTTGCAACACGTTGATCGCGACTTACAAAATAACAATTATTAATTAACGAATTACAGACGCACTCAAGAAGTTAAATTAACACTAAACTATGACTAAATTTGATAATTTGTTTGGCACTTAAACTAAATACACGAATTTCTTGGCGTATATAATACGACGAAAATGTTTTATATAGACATGGGTAACTATTTATAAAAGTTGAACACTAATTACCGACTCAAAGTGCGGACGTAAATTCAAGAGTAAATAACGAAATAAACGCTTGAATTATGAATATGGAATTTATTCTTTCTGTGTATTGAACATTTGTGCTGCAATCACAATGGTATGGGCAAAGGTTCATTTCAAACTCACAGTTAAAAAATCCGAAATGTGCCAAATCGTACACAATTAATTTGAAAAAAAGATTAAGTTTCATCATTTAAAACAAAATCGATCTTGTCCAATGAATTGAAATCAACATGAATGACGTTAGTTGTTTCGGAATTTAGAAATGTCCATAAGTTATGTAACGGGAATAGTCATTGAATTTCATATTCTCTTTAAACAATGAAATTTATTTTGCGCAAACTAGATAACTTGGCGAAATTGTAGTCTTATATATTTCGGTACTCGCTCGGTGTGGTTTCGTACTCGGACTGTAGAAAATTTGGTGAACAATTCACACTGAATGTGTTTCAAGTATACCACCTTATTACATAAAATAAGGATTCCAATTAGGTATATAGATAAATTTAAAATATTTAATCTATGTATGTAGTTATTTATTTACAATAACCTTTATACATGGGTGCAATATGTCGAGTTAACTATTATCTAAGTGATTTTGCATTTTTATTTATTACCAACTCAAAACTAAAATTTGACACTCAATGATGAAAGCATTGATTTATGGCAATCAATATTTTAGTTTAAATAATTAGACACACGGACATTCTTGTAAAACTTTTTAATGTGAAAATATAAAAGCTTTTGAATTAGAAAAAAATATGTCAACACATTCAATGCAATATGACATTAAACTGTTGCCAGTTTCGTCATTTTTGTCAAATATTACGTTTTTAATTGTAATTTTAACCTAGTTATATCTATCTCACTTTGTATTAATAAATGTGCAATATTTTTAAATTACCCATTTTCTCATTAGATATATTCGAGTTACTTGTACTGTGCAATAATATCGTTATGATGTAAATAATTTTCAGATGGTGTATAATAAATTATGTACGATTTATTCTAGTATTATTTATCACTTCATGTTATAAGTAATTTGTTTGAATACATACATATTTCACAACCGGCAATATGTATATTTATACAGATATTGTATCGAATGCCTCGTCATTCACCCGGGACAGACTACAGTTCAGCTATTAAATATACCCATTTAAACATCACCTGAAATCTCTTTCTGACCCATCTTTGTTTTGATATTACATTGTACATTTTGTTTTTTGTTGAATTCTGATCGAATCTATAACAGGTAACGAAAAAGAACCACTTTTTTTAACCAGTATCAAAGTTTTTAGTGTCTCATTAAATTAGTTTTCTTTTTTAAAAACGTTTTATCGTTTGGTTGTGCTAGAACAAGGGTACATTTCAATGTAAAGTAAAGCAACAGCCTACATATATCCCACTGCTGGCCAAAGACCCCTCTGCACAGAGGGTATTAGGGCATAGTCCACCACGCGACCCAACTGCGGATTTGCGGACTTAGTCATCGAAATGTTATTATTACGGAAATATGCCGGTTTCCTCAAGACGTTTCGTTTTACCGCTGAGCACGTGATAAGTCAGCATTTAAAATTAGCCATGTCATTGATTGAACGATTTGAACTCAGGCTGCGCCAATATATTCAATTACATTGCCCGTACATGGCACTATCACACCTTGTGCAACACGCTAAGTAATAAGATATTTTTAGGTTACCTTGTTCTTTAAAGAATTAAATTTTTCGTGGATGATTTGCGTGTATGGTCCTTAGGAAGTTACAAGGGTCCATAATATGGTAAACGTAAAGGATCATATCGGGAAGGAGATTCCGTCCATCCAAACAAAAAGAACTAGACCACTGCCATCTTCGAACTCATCTTCTAGCTCTTCATCGAGCTCTTCATCATAAGCGTCAGTAAAGTATCTACAGAGAAGCTAACTACATCATCACCGCAACCACAAAAAAGAGGAGGTAAAAGTAGTCGTCAAGATGGTTTACTGTTTAACTTAATTCAAGCAGAGTAGCTAAGTGAACTCTAGAAGAACGTGCAAACAACGCGCGTAACAGCCAGCAGTCAGTGGCGAGCGAGCTGGCGGTTCACCTTATGTTCTTTATTCTTTTTTTTTAAACTGCTCTCACTTTAGGATAACAATATCCTGTGTTGTATGGACGTTTTTCAAACATAAATTGCACGAGGACAAACACCCAGATGCGAAACAACTGTCTGTGGGTAGCACAAACAGTTGTGCCGTGTGGAAATCGACGCCACGGAGTCATCATAATGTTAAGTGATAACCGCCGCCCATGGAAATTTGGAACACAGGTTGCAGACCTTTTTATAAAGTGGGCACCGGTTACCTCACTGACCAGACGAAACGCAGAAGTATAACACTTCCACCTCACACCGGTGTTCTGTGAGGTTGAGGTAATTCCCCGGACGGACCTGCCCATTCGTGCATCAGCGAAGACTGTTGCTTGGCCATACCACACCCATATACATATAGAGGCGAGGCCTCCACCGCCCTAAGGCCAAGAGATGACGTGACAAGTTCGTAATTGTGGAGGTGGTCGACATATTTGTTAGGTTTGGATGAATCTTAATTAAAATTGGCTAAAATCTTATCGGCGTCTGTAGACCAAAAAGAGACATACGGCAAACGGTTAAGATAGAATAAGACACATTTGGACCCTTTGGAACGGGAAAGGATTTAGCTCACTTTACACACTATTTATAAATGGTCCTTCTTATATCATGATATAGTGAATAATGTTTTGTCATAGAGAAAACTTCCTAGTTAAGTAGTCCCGAATTGTGAATCAAATATCGCATTAAATTATTGACGTATTTATGTCCATTTATATGAAATATTTAGGTATTTTAGTCTTTTAAGAAATAAAATTGATAGTAGTGGTAATTAAAAAAAAAATTATAAATATATACAAGACTTTTATTTCGAATCCCGCAGCCCCGAAAATTTTTGTTCATTTCTCTACAAAAATTTTGAGGGATCATAAATTGACTGTAGTGTCTAGCATTAAATTAAAATTAATTTAATTGTGAATTTTAGTGCCAGTATCTGCCAATGATATTATATGCAGATACGAGATGGATGACACTAGCGCATCGAAACCGAGCCTCTAAAAGTACGCTAATTGGTGTAATTTGTCACTTTTCGTATCATTCTTATTTTTTCATCGGATTTCAACAACGGAGGAGGTTATCATAGGTTCGACTGTATTATTTTATAATGTTCATTACCTTAGAACTTTCCACTGAGTGTACGGATTTGATTTTGATAAAATAACCACTTGTTTTACTAACGGAAAACAAAATCGACTTGAAATATCTCGCTCTGTATTCATTTTATAATTGATTTTCAGGAGTTCCCTCTATCTTTGGAGCCCAAGATTCGATACCAATGAAATTAATAGATTCAATATCAATGGGACCACATGGGAAGCACCAGCTTCGAAATACAAAAAGGATCATCAAAATCGGTTCTCTTGTACACATTGCCCTTACTTTAGGATAAGGTCATTGTCCTGTGTTGTAAGGAGGTTTTACAAACATAAATTTCACGTGGACAAAGTACCCAGATGCGAAACAACTCTCTGTGGGTCACACAATTAGTTGTCTAGTGTGAGATTCGAACCCACGAGCCCCGGCGCCGAAGCCAATACCTTAGCAACTGCGCCACGGTGTCATTATTCTGTATCATCTGTCATATTCCCTTATATATGTTATATATGTTCACTTATAATAATGTAAGACGGAACAATTAAACGGAAGTTTAAACTTCCTCGAGTCGGGTTATTTCCTCACTCGAGTGGAGTAATCAACACGTCACCCGTTAAATCATATGTCATATTCTATGTGTTGTATGTCTGTAATATATTTTTGTATGATATTTTCCTATTATTTAAAATGTAAATTTAAATTATTTTTTTAAACAATTTTAGTTATCATATTATTTGTATGTTTATCTTAAAATGTATAAATAGATAAATAAATATACAAAACCTTAATTAAAATAGAATAATGATTTATTAACATCCCACAAATACAGTGTTATTGTCAAAATTTTACCGTTCGTTAATGCACAATCTTGTCACTGGTACATTCTACGTTCTAAAGTAAAATAAAACAAGAAAAAAATCATACATACAATTATTCTTAGCCACTATCTCATAAAATCTCAACTGTTATATTTTCCTTAGTTTGATAAAAAATTTATAAATGAATAACAATTTTTTTCAAATTACCTATTAACTATGTTAGTAACTAATCTCTCGTATGTACGAACATATAGTACACGTTACATTCTAGTTTACTTAACTGTTACTCAGAAAATTAGCATAACTTATATTTACAAATATATTTTCATAGACTATGACCCCCTATGAGTATTAAGTAATCAAGAATTAAATAACGAAAGCTACCGCAAAACAATTATAATTTTTCAAAACATGTATAATTTGTTTTAGGGTAAACGTTTCTCTATACGTGAATTTGAAAATGCCTTCATAAACCTCTCCAAGTTTGAGAGGACTAAGGCACTAGGTAGTTTCATTAATGCACCATCTTATATTAGCACAGACTATGATAATAAAAGAGGTTTGTTGAAAGAGTTTTCTCTGTAATCGATAAATATTACGATATTTTTAAAAGTAATGTATTACTACATATGTAAACAATCAATGACTTTAGATATATAACTATAAATAGATTTTTCGGAATAAAGTTCAACGCATTATGGCAAGCGGAAGTTTGAGGGTTCCGCGCGCATAGGCCTATTCTAATCGGTGACTATGCCAGTTGTCTTGGAAGGGTAAAGATAATAAGTGCTTAGACGTTTACGTCAGCGGTCCATTATGGCATTTCAGTACGGCCTAACCGTGCCCAAGCGGCCCCTGGGTATCGGTTCCGCGTAGCTGTGGCGGAACTTGGTCGGCTGCCGGTCGGCGAGCTCGCGGAACTCCCTGTACTCCCTGTCGTAGTACCTGTCCCTGTCGCCGTCAGCGTACGACTGGCGCTGCTCGTCGAGCAGCCGCGAGCGGCTGAACGCGCGCTGCCTGTCCGTCCACTCGCGCCGCCTGTCCTCCATCACGGGTTCGATGACCTCGTCCTCGTCGATGCGCCGGTCGAGCTCCCGCCGCTCCCGGTACCGGTCGAACTCGTCCCTGTGCGGCTTCGGCTCGACCCTGCTGAGGTAATCCTCCGCCCCGTACTCGTAGCGCTTGGGGTCGTCGCGCTTTCGGCCAACGCGGGGGAGCCGCTCGATCTCCCTGTGCCCGACATCGGTCGTGTCGATATCCCGCACGCGCTCTACATCCTTGCGCCGCTCCGGTTCCCTGTGCTCCCTGGGGCGGTCGATATCGCGGTGCGAACGCTCCGGCTCCCGGCGGGAGCTGATGTCGCGGTGGCGCTCCTGACGCTCGTCCCGCCTCTCCTCCTCCGGGGAGGAGGTCGAGCGACTGTTCCTCTCTAGCATGCTCCTCCGCATGGCCATGTGCTGTTCCAACTCCCGGTTGAACCTCTCCCGCTCCAGATTCATGAACTTCTCCTTGGCGACGTTGAAGCGGTCCTTGGGTGAGGTCTCGGCGAGCTTCAGGCTGCCCTCGCTTGCGCCGCGTTGCAGTTTCCCGAAGCGCCGCTCTTCCACCCGGTCGATGCTACGGTTTGAGGGCTTCGCGTCGGCCACGTACCGTCTCCTGTAGCCGGGCGTCTCCTCCAAGAACTTGTCCGGCTTCTCTTTGGCGACGCGCTCGAGCGACTCGTGGCGGAAGCGGCGCTCGAAGGTCGCGTCCCTGAAGGGGGCGAGCTGGTCGCGGTAGGGCTCGGCGAACTCCTCGTTGTAGGCGGGGGCGCGGTCGTAGGCGCGTGGGGAGAGGGCGCGGCGCGGGGGCGACGCACAGCGCGGGGGGGAGGCGCGCCTAGGCGACTGCGCCCTGCGGGGCGGCGACGCGTCGAACGCCTCGTGCATTAAGTACGCCGTACTCTCCGCCCAGTCTTCCTCTGGAATAGACGTGAGTATGGTTAAACAACAGCTATCATTCTATATTATGCATAAAAAAAGAAATTCAAATAAAGTGTATAATGATTAATCATGCTTCGTAATTAATACATAAATTAGACATTAACTCCGTTACATCGAAGCATTGGACAGACATTTTTAGGATGTATTCATATCTCTCTAGCTTCTTTTATCCATACATCTTAGCATTTGCACGGATCGATCACGGCTATTTTTCGTACCATACATTTCCTTCAATAATGTCTCTTTCATATCCTAATATAATTAATTGTATTGTTTTTTGTATTTTGATCAGAAATAATATCAAAAAATACATAAAAATATATTGAGGAATAATAATGGATAAATGGAACATTGAAATTGCTAACAACAACAAAAACATCATAAAATATACAATTACTGTCAAAAAATTCACCTGGCAAACTGCAATATATTCTTAATCCATTAGAGGGTACTAAATAATATTGTTACCTATTCATTAGAAAATAAATATTGATTTACGATTCTTAGTGCCAAGAAATAATAACTTTCCCCAGTTCACACTTTAATACGATACATTGACACATTCTTTCTAGCTTTAGCTGCTCTAATAACCTCCATAGTTCTGAACTGTCCGGTGGTTCGCGAAAACGACCGACCTATTGTCGATCCTCGCTTTTACGTGTAACGGGACCCGGGTCTCATCTTCGGAACACCGTTTACCGGCGAACAAGTTTTTAAAAAACGAAACTGACATAGAAAGGAACCTGTCGCCTCCCACGTGAGCAGTTTGACATAAGCGTTAAAGATCGCTCGAGCGCTTAGGGCGTGTCCACATACCGGAAAATGGTGAAATCCGTTTAAAATATGATATTCATAAAAGATTTTCGCATATATATTATATTCGATCTTGCATTTACTGTTCTACAGAAACCACTCTAAAAATGACATAAAATCATTTAAAATGCTGTATATAATTTAATAAACACAATTGAATAAAACAGGAGTGTATTTATCGTATGTCGTGATATTGTGTGAAATTTTACTCCAATGCCTTTGTACTGTTATAATATATCGATCGAAAAATTATTTGCGGGGGTCCTAGTTACTAAACCAAGATAAGTTTCGTAACTCAGTATAAATCTTTGTTCACGGAGGACATTAATGGACAATCTACTTGCGGCGTTTAGGGCAAAGTTAAATAAAAACCGACCAAGTCCGAGTCTAATCACGCACGAAAGGTTCCGTATCATATTTATAAAAACGGCAAAAATATCATATCTGTTGCATGGGAGCCCCATTTACTTTTTTCTATTTACTCCGTTTTCTTATTATTTGTTGTTATATCGGCAACAGAGATACATTGCCTGTGAAAATTTCAACTGTTTAACTATCACGGTTTATAAGATACAGTGCCTGGTGACAGACGTACAGACAGACAGACGGACAGCGGAGTCTTAGCAATAGGGTCCCGTTTTACCTCTTTTTGGTTACGGAACCCTAAACACCACGATGAAATCTCCCCGACATTCTTGTCTTGTTTGCTTGCTTTGGGATAGTGGTCTGAATTCTCAGTGGAGGGTGCTAATTCTTCTTTTTGATTACGTCCAAATCACGTTTTGGATTCAATGCGGTAAATGAAACAAGGATGGAACCTTATAACTTTGATGACCTTAGTACATCCTCCTTAGCAATGAAATCGCCCTATGAAAGTAAAAGTAATATGTCATATATCGTAGTATGTAAAGTGACGTATTACTTAAAGGACGATAATAAAAATGGTACACTGCCGATTCGAGAGTGTACCATTTTAACGGACTTAAAAACAGGAGGAGGCTTTCAATTCGACTTTTTTTGTTTGTTTTTTTTTTACTTCAGAACTCTCGACTGACTGAACTGATTTTGATCATTGAAATCTGGTGCTTCCCATGTGGTCCCATATAATTGGTATTGGACCTTGGACTCCGGGGATAGTTGTTTAGTTTCTAGGTGTTTTTCCGCGTGAAATTTATGTTTGTGAAACGTTCTTACAACACAGGATAATGTTATCCTAAAGTAAGGGCAATGTTTTTAAAAGTGAAAAAAAAAAAAACAACCTTTAGGGAACTCCTGAAAATAAATTCTAAAATCACTACAGACGGTTTTGGTTTTCGTTAATAATAAACTGTAAGCTTCTAATTCCCGAGATTTAAATTTCACGTTTCTTTCGACTTCGTTACATTGTTTTGTAACATAGAACCTTCGGAGCCCGGTAAATAATTAACATTTTTTATTCCTTTGTTCCGAGTAACAATATGGCAAAAAGTCTGCATATTTTGATTACCATAAAGTAAAGCACAAATAACATAAAATAATCAAAAACTCCACCATCGCTTGGAACATTCTAAACCTATTTATATTTTACCGCCTTTTAATTTATTTTATTTAAAGATATAAAGGGAAGACATAAATGTTATTTCTTCATAGTGATGGTCAGTTTATAGCAAAATAAATTGAGTAATAGAATAGAATAAAATACAATACAAAATACAATAGTTAATCAACTATTAAAATATCTGATTTCATACCTTTTTTTATTACCTTATAACATTTCTCATTAACAAATAGAACACATGGCATAGGAAGTTCTTTTATTATCTACAATTGCTGGGATAATAACGGTTTATTAAACTGCAGCTGCATTGACTTCCATTTGACGCTGTTGTAGGTAACATTGCATCTCCGTCCCACATTGCAGTACTTAATTACAGAATAAGAGAGAAATACAAACACTTGTGATTTTCAGATACTGATATATTCTAAGCCGTGTAATTTATATCAAATTATTGGTTTATATTTAATTTACATACCGTACTTCATATTACTCGTAAATATGTCGTTTTATAATATATATTGCATAAGTTACTTTTATTTAAAAATAGGTTGAAATTAAATTAAATTTGCCTAATAAATCTGTGGTATAAACTTTGTGAGTTATAAATCTATATATCATTACATTATATTATATTATGTTACATTATATTATATTAATCTATATATCTTTACATTATATTATACTACGTGAAGCAAAAACTTTGTACCCCTTTTTATGAAAATTGATTATTTTAATGCAAGTAGTTTATCTTAAATAGCATGATTGCTATTTAATCTAAATTTCTAGTGAATATTATCCACAATTGAATATAAAATATATGAAAACGTAATAGAAAAAATAGGTAAAAGTTATCATCTATAACTAATCCGTTTACTATTAAAAATTGCAAGGTAATATGCTGTGTTATGTATAATTGGATAATATGAAACAAAAATTGTAAATAACGCAAAGCATGAAGTATTTCTAAAGTTTTCTGCAAAGTTATCTAACGCAATAAGCGTTATATCAATTCACGATGCCCAATAAAATGTATGTGTAAAGCGAATATCGTAATCAATTGCATCAATTTACATATATATAGAAAAACCATTTATATACTCTTAGAATTAAGAATAATTCTGCATTCAAATGCAAAATGGCGCAATTAATTTTAAACATTAAAGATATATCTTTGGAGTTATTGTCAATTTTACGACGTTATTTTTAATATTTTTCTATCTTTACGCTTTCTAGTAAATACGTAAACAGATGATGAAGATAGCGATGATGAGGTATTCGGATTAGTGATGTAAATGAGAATATGCGTGTTCATACAAAAATCTAAAATGGCCGGCGCCCGCAATAATTATGACGTCGCTGTTGTATGTATGCACGACTCCGATGATGCCATCGCCCGAAGACGAATTTGGTATTGTTTTTATGCGTATATAAATTTAGCCATTCATTACCCGCATTATAAACTATACAAGTCGCACTACACCCGCCTTTTCTATAAAAGCAATGTAAATTAGCGTCAAACATTAATATATGCACTTAGCAGTCGCCAAAATATATGCGATGAGTCAGTTGTTTACGAATAAGGTGGAAGCAAACTGCATAATTAATTTAACTATTGATATGTTTATGTCTCTACATAAATAGTATTTTTTTTATTAAAATTGGTTTTTGCTTTGTAATTTTTGATCGTCAGTTTTTCGAATACGGTGGAAGCAAACTGCATAATTAACTATTGACATCTTTATGTCTCTACAATACAAAGTATTTTTTTATTAAAGTTTGTTATGCTTTGTAATTTTTGATGAGCTTACTTTTAGTCACGGATTTTTTGAATGTTGTTTTTGTCGAAAATGTCACTTTTAAATAACATTCAGATGGATCGCCAAGCGTAAGTAACGTTCAGTGCAAATATTTTTGTTTTAAAGTAGATTTGAATTCTTGATCGTGTTCTATTTGAAGAAGGAATAATAATCAAACACACGCGAGCTCCCGTTTCTCCTATCAGTGCCACAAGTTGTACAAGAAGTCTTATCGTTATTCGACGATTAATTCTAGCAGGTTTGTTTGTCAAATGTTCTACAAAGAATGTATAGAAGTTAACAATAAATCTTGTAAGCATGATTAAGTCGTGCATGGAGCCTGTCGTGTATGACGTGATGTATGGAAGACGTGTTCAGTAAGAACAAATGTTTTCTTTACTGCCACAATAATAGATCAAAAGCAAAGTGACGCTCGAAGCATAACCGATTTAATTAATGTCTTTACAATGAGATGAATGGGACAAGAACTTATCTAGTAGAGATTGAGAAATTCCTTGTTATAAACTCGGTGTTATACCCACTTGTCACCAAGCCACATATAGCTTATGCCTATCAGCCTATCTAATAAAGACGTACGGTATTTGTTAGAAATCTTTAATAGTACGATGACATAATCTGTGTTGAGTTTTTAAAGTGAAACTTCTTTGGTGGCGATTCGATAATTGGAGGCGTATTTGGTTACACGCGTTAGAAGGTAACAGAGAATGAGGCAGAGAGCGCTCTCTCTCTACACTTTGGTACGCACTATAAAGCTATAGAATGCGATAGCGTCGCGCGTGCGCCCATTGCTGATCGTCGTGTAATTATTTTCTGTAGTGCCCGAATAAGTAATTTTAACTGTAAGAAAGATTAACTCTTATCGAGTGTATGGTGTGGCGCGCACATGTTTATTTTTTAAAACAAGTCGCCCACACGATCCTCCCTGTGCAAGAGATGAAGTTACAAACCGCTGGTGCTGTGGTTGTCGTGTTGCCGCGTGTAGTCGTTCCTCTCCGGCGAGGGTGCCAAGTCGCTGCCGATACCCGAGCTGCCACCAGATGACTCCAGCTTGCGCCTGGCGTTCACACCCACGATGTTCTGGTTGAGGCAGCGGCGCGTGTCGATGTTGCTGAGGTTGCCCTTCTGGCGGTGCACCGTGTCGTAATCACGCGGTGGTAGCAGAATTGGACTCTTTCCTGGAAAAAGTAACTCACTGGTCAGTCACGTAAACAGTTTAGGGAAATTTTGATTTTATTTATATTCAGCGCAAAGCAGTATGCTACCTTAGACATAACACTCGATATAAAGCACGCTATAGGGTTTTGAAATATATAAAATATATGTGTATCTAAGTTCCCTATGGGCTTCAAAATATATACGATTTCGATGACATATTCAGGCAATCTTCAAATTAACTCATTAGAAGATTCTGTGAAGTTTGGTAGCGATCGTTAACTAGTTCTAAATCAGTGCAAAGCCGGGGCTGGTTGCTAGTTATCAATAAGAGGGAAAACGAATGAAATATTGTATCTACAAAAATTTTAATGCAATAACAGTGTGGTAGTTGATATGCGCATAAATTTATGCTGCTAGATATCAATTATCACCATCACCTATATTTTGAATATTTTATGACAAAGAAATAAAAAAAATGCATAATTGGTAATTAAAAAACGACAAACATAAATTTGCGTGATAACTAAACTTACAGTGTCAAATTCATTATATAGTTAAAGTAAGAACAACGCATAAATAAAATACAGAAGGAAACGTATAAAGCGCGAAATACAAATCGATATCAAGTGCAGGATTTATATGCGTGAAAGCGGGCATAAACAAATGAAAACTCGCACTAACCTAGTCCCTTTTTACCTGTTGAAAGCTTCTGTTTCAACTCTGCCGCCAGGCTGTCGTACAGATTGGCGACGCACCTCTCCTCGGTGCTCCCCGAATCGGACTCGCGTGAGACCTCGCTGCCGAGAGAGGAGTCTGGCGGCTTCTTGGAGGGCAGAGCGCCCCGCATCTGCAGCTTCCTCTCTATGTCGGCGAACTTCTTCTGGTTCTCGGGACGCTCTATCAGCGCCTGGAGGTGCGTGTACAGCATCTCGGCGGTGTGGTCGGAGTCGCATCTGTGGAATGAGAGCGCTTGAGAAATTGGCCCGCAAAGCCGACATTTGGCCTGCCAATATTGTGTCGGGGGGAAACTCGTTTTTATGCTTATCATCTATTGTTATTACACTTTAATGTCTCTCATTTTTATTCGAAGTTATGCGTTGATTTTTCGAAGAAATAGTTCATGGATCGGTTTCATTTAAATTGTATTCGCGACGTCGAAGATTTTTATGGTTATATTATACTCGAGCTAATAAGATAAAAACCTTTTTCTACACTACACATAACATTTTTTTTAATAAAAACCTTTAAATATCTATAAGATTAAGTTAATCTAACAGTTATTGGTCAATTCAATCCATTTATTTTAATTCATGGTAGACATTAAAACCTAAAATAACAAAAATGTTTCAAAGTACGTCAATCTTATTTAGAGACAACAAATGTGGAGATATCTGAGACTCATAGTTAAACGAGTCCAAAAAGGACATAGAAACAAATCGAATACGTTTTTACTATACTATTATTTTATTTCATTATGTTTTTTTGATATTATGTGAAAAACGACATTTATATTATTTCATGCTACTTGTGTAGACACCATGGCTCCGTCTCATTTAGGCGGTGTTTCGGTTATGACTGGGGCGGCATCAGAATTAGCTCATGTATGTATTAGCTCAAGTGGCGTAAATATGAGTCTCTTATAATATAATCGGATTTGTTCAGATTATATGTATGTTTGCTATTGCTATTGAAATCTTAGTCCGTGGGGTTCCCGCACCTCACATTTTTTGAAAGGTTTACGTTCTAGAATTATCGCCGCGGCTGCTGACAAGAGGGCTGTTTCTGTTCTCACTCAAAGGTTAAGTTAAGCATATGTATTCGGCGAGGAAATGCTGTTAGCGTTCTTGTAAGCATTTTGCGTGGCCTAGATTAAATAGATAACATGCAATTTGTATTGATTTAATATAGTCAATATTTTTATTTTATTCGTAATTATAAAATGTATTTTTATTGAAAATATTTTTATTTATTTAAATATATTTTTATGTTGTATCTCCTCACACAATGGATATTGTTGTACATATTTACCTATATTAACCATTACGGTAACCAGTTGTAGTATGTCGTGACAGGATCCGCATGCCAAAGTATTGTGCATCCTACTCTCTGCTCGAATGTCAAAGTTGAAAGATTCCCTACAAGGCCATTTGTCACTTAGCATTTAGTAACGCATCGTTGCCTCGATTGGCAAACATGCGTTAATGAACTACTATAATATTGTTTTTATATTTTACAGGACAATTATTGTCCACCATAAAAACGAAGTCTTTATATTCGGGAAAGATCTGCAGCCGTCGACATTCTTCTTCCTTGTCGTGTCACATTTTTTGTTCGATCGTAAATCGCCAGTCTCCGATGGCTAGATATCCAAGAAGGTTGTTTTTTTTGGGAACATTTTTATGTATGCGTTCGTATGAGTGCTTAAACGTTTCGAGTAAGATTATTATCGACTTTCTATACAGATATATTTCATGAATTACTTTAACTTATATTTATATTATAGTTTTTAAACTTGGTGCCGTTGCTATAAATTTCTAAATAATATTAATTAATTAGTAAAAAAGAGAAACTATTGTTAACATACAATGATGTTATTCACATTACAATTTAATATTATGACACGTTGTGGATCTGTGTCACATGAGGCGAGTATACTCGCGTGATTGTTTGCTGTGATCTCGGCTGGCAACCAAGTTAGCTGCGGAGACGCAAAATATACTGCTATGTTATATAATGCTTTGTTTTTTGAGAGCATGCTAGATTTACTGATAAGACATACGATATTTTCTGCTTACACTTGCTGCTGAACTCAAAAGTAAGCAGAAATTATACAACAAAAGACTTTCTTTTGTTGTATAATTAATTTTAATAAGTTAAATAATAATTGGTGATACTATTACTTCGTTGTGTATGGCTTATTACGGCATAGAAGTATTATGAAACGAAGGCTAGGACTGAAAATCAGCGCTGTGTTGGGGCCTTGACTTCCGGCATAGCATAATGCTGAGCTGCTAACCTAATTTACCGGAATAGGGCGTACAATATTTTTGGTTTATTAAAGTTCTTTTTCATTTGTTTTATATTTTAATTATGTATTTGTTTTCTTTTGATTTACTGAATTATTTATACTTAATTATTATTAATAATTAATTATAAAATAATTTATAATTATTTTTTTTATTTCTTTTATTTTTTGTTAATTTTAGTTTTTCTTTCTCTTTTATTGTGTGCGTCTTTTTTTTTTGGTAAATAAATGTATTTTCTTTCATTCTTCTCCTTTCAAATGTGAGCCAAATGAAAAGCAGCATGTTATAACGTAGACATCAGCATAAATTGACTGAAAGACACAAGTGACAGTGATAACTGAACTGGCATTGCGCACGCCACAAGAATTTAGCTTCTTTTTTATAAAATCAAAGTCCAACACACAAACATACACAAGTCATAAAAAATGACAAGTTTCAATTGTTAAACTTATCTTAAGATTATGATTAAGACACTTACTTTATTTTTTTTAAATGCAATATTGCTACAGTAAATTATGCCGACTATTGCACAAATTATGTCAACTTATTGTACAATTGGCATTTATTCATTCATAATTTTGAATATTGCTCGTAAATAAACATGTAATCTGCATATTAAGCCACCTTGAAAATTGTATGTTTATGTAACTAAATATAATATTTTCCTACTGAGTACAGTAATTATTCGTAATGAATATAAATTACCTCACGCCAAACCGTAGCGTGAGCCTTAAGCAGTCAGGGATTTTATAATTTTTTCATTAAAATTATTTAATATAGACTTTTTTTAATTTTGTAGAAAGATGAACTAAAAAAGAATTCCACACCGCGAGGACTTAAACTCTGGGATACGGGCCCAACGCTCTTGCTACTGAGCTAAACGGCCTATCTTCACACAGACGGAAATCTCAACGTATTTTATACACTTTGGTTTTATTATATTTTTAAGCAATTTTTGGCGTCATCTAGTGTTTTGTTTACAGCAACCAACCACCTTTTCATTTATCATTTTACATTATTACAATATTTCATTATTTGAAAACTAGAGATGCCACACTTGCTACTATTATTTTAAAGAACATTTGATTGATTGACATTCGATGAATCGGTGACACTGTTACTACCTTTATCATGTGCTAAATTGCATTCACTCGATTGCCACACGGGGCATTTATGTATGTTACTTAGAGATATTTGTTTCGGACCTAGCTGTGTTCCCAAGCATGGTTGACGTCAGGTAGGCGGCCGGTAGTAAGGGACCAAGTCAACACCTCTAACAAATTAACATGTTGTGGCGAGCCCATCTTGGTGGGATCAGGGTAGAAGGATAATGATTTTTAACATGACAACTGCTACGATTTTGTGTTAGTGTAAGAAGTTTGCAACCAAACAAACGGTTCACATGATGTTTAGAGATTACCGCTGCCAATGGGCAGTTACAAAAAGAGTGGAGCCCGGTTACCGTAGTCACCAGACGAAAGGAGAAAGTATAACACTTCCACTTCACGCCGGTCTGATGTGAGGCCATTTTACTTCTCCAGGTTTTCTTAAAGTTAGCAACGCATCTGCAACCCCACGAGTGTTACTCGTGTCCATGTTTTCAAAAAGAAAGCTAATGGAAGTTGTACTTAGCCAAATATCAAATAGAAATACAGAATATTCATGTAACGTAACATCCTGCTCACGTCCTTTGAACTGTGTGATAGCGCAAATGTCAAGGCCCGAGAACGAACATTATTAGCATAGGAATTTTAATTATAAGCATACATTATCTGGCCTCTATACAGCGTGTCTTTACAATCGCGACAATAAATGAACACAAATATAGAGGATAACTTTTTAAAATTGTTTTAAAAATATACTTTCTTTAAACATCAATATTTACAGAGTTATTAAATTTTCCAAAACAAAGGATTTTAGAACATCCTTACGTATAAAACTGTAACGTAAAGTTCATTTGTAAAGGTCACAAAGCATATGAATGGGTTGAATGAATTTAAAATAGACAAAACATACAGTTAGAAGTAAGGCTTGTAATGCAACGCTGTGGCAACGAATGAAAAAGTCTCTGAATGAATCAGTCAGTCGTAGTTGTATAGGATGTTACAAATTTTGTTTCTTTTTTACTTAATTACTTTGTTTGAAGAAAATTTTATTTTAATTATGGATTTTTTTAACGTTAATATTTTTTTATGATTATTGGCAAGTAGAGTTAGACGTGTGTTCATTTATTGTCGCGATGGTAACGCCACGCTGTATATACCTGTATCGATTTTAGTCAGATTCCTTCCAGATTTATGCCGTCTCTCTATGTCGTAGTGTTCGTATTATCATCAACAAACACTTTTAAGAGAAACATTTTATTTAAGTAGTAATATGTGTTCGCGGTGGTAAAATTAATCTTTGAAAAATCGATTTGCGTATTTAAAAATATTAAAACAATAATAAGGTACAAGTACACCTTATACTTAAAAAAGGAAACAGAACGTAATAAATAATAACATTTTAAAAGACTGAAATAATTAGAATTATTAACTAAAATAATGAAATTGTTTTGATTTGCATTATTTAACTTCAGATAAGGGTAGGATCAGAATAAAAAAAAGTCCTGAAGTGAATTAACGTATAAGTTGACATTCAAATACAAATTTAAAGGTGAATAGATTGACATTTGATCGGAAATTTAAATAGTATAGTCGCGTGTGTATATGGTTCTTATTATTTTTTTAGTAACTAGGGGCTCGTCCCAACTTCGCACGGGTGGACATTTGTTTTCTACACATTGGACTACATCTTTGTACTTTTGGTAGGGATCCCTAACTTTTTCTAGAAATTGATATAGCCTATGTTACTTAGGGATAATGAATTTTTGAAGTCAGTAGTTTTTGAGTTTATTCGTGACAAACATACAAAGATAAAAAAAGCAA